ATATCGATATATATGTGTCATGTTTTCAGGCGTGTACTGTCGGCCATGTTTCCAAAGTTTGGGAAACATGTGTGTTGTCTGCACGCGACCTCTGACCTTCCAGGAAGACAGTGAGGAGGAGCTGTGAGTAACCACAGTTTATCATGTAAATGTATAATTATGGTATTAGTTCAGCATCTTCATGGAGAGCCACAAACAAGAACTGCTGACATGGATTCAAAACTGCTGATTCACACTTTGATATAAATGATGCTGCATCATATTTTGTTGTTGATTTATCATACTCAACCCAGGGTGAAATATTGCTGAGTCATTAACCACTGTTGCTCCGTCTGGGTAAAATTTTGCTGAGTCATATGTCAATACAATAGACTGATTTGTGAATTTCCCACGTCGTGTTTCAGTATTGCTGACTCATTCTTAAATATTACTGAGTCATACTTGGATATTGCTGATTCAGTGTGGAGTGCTCCTGAGTCGTGGTGAAATTTTGCTGAATCAATTGACTAATTTCTGAATATTGCTGACTCAGGTTTGGATAAAATACTGAGTCAGACTGAGATCAATCTATTTTCTCAGAGACTCCAGTGATGACGAACAGCTGAGTCCGCGCTCGGCAGCGACACGACGAGGACGGACTGAGCGTTCAGAGTGTGGAGTCAGAGCCAAGGATGATGGAGGACACGACTCTGAGCTCAGGTTCGACTTTTACTATTGATCTGAACTCTGACTCATTATTGACATCATCGCAGTCGTGTCTCTTCCAAAAGTGAATAAAAACAGTCAAATCATAAATATACAGAAAAGCCATAACAAATACCCTAATAACCCTAAACTTAATGATGAATATTCCTCATGATGTTTTCACGAGTTCGTTTCATCTAAATTGTTTGAATTGATGTATTCTTTACCTTAGAATGAGCCCTTTATAGTACTTTAAATTTACATCTCTACGGAGGCCGCCATGTTTTTTACATTAGTCCAGACTGAACAAACCAAACATCTTTTGAGTTTTTATGACAACAGAAGCTGCCACAGGTTCTTTTTCATGTTTGGAAGGGGAGGGTGAGGTCTATATATCACTTAATTCTACACACTGTACCTTTAACATAAGAATGCAGTAATATTTCCTGCTGTATTCTTACATGGGCTCACATTTTAAGGACATGCCTGGGGATCGGCAGGAAAGTTTCAGAAAATGTCTGGAGCAATGGACATTTGCGTTCTGTGCATGTCTGAAAGCAGCTATAAATTCTTCAAGTGTATTGCACTCTGCTGGAGGATAAAGAGAAATCTTTCAAAGGACATTACCACATTTGGTGGGAAACTGAAACATCACAACAAAATCTCCCATAGGTCTTTAACCTCCCAGAAGATTCACTAGAAACCTCCTGAGTGACCTCCCTCTGGTCCTCCTATAAATGACCATTAAAACCTCAGACTCCTACTGGATTATTCGACCACAAAACCTGATTTAACCTATAGCTAACCTAAACTAACCTATAGGATCCCTAGAATCTTCTTTAGATGCTGTAAATAATGTTCAATGAAGTAAAATGAAATCCAACAGTGTAAGTGAGCCTCGAGGTTTTCCCTTTATTTGTCAGTCTGTAGCTCTGCTTATATTGTCCCTGCTGATGTTCAGTCAAGACATTGGACTTGAGATGTCATATTAAGTAAATCTAACACTTACAAATGTGACTCTTATCTGACAGGACTGTTATGCAGTTGTTCAGGGTGGAGCAGAGGAGACCAAAGCACTTCTGCAGAACCGCTTTGACCACATCCTTTACACAGGTACGAGCCTCCAAGATGGAGCAGATTGAACTGCATGTCAAAGTATTTAAACGTAGATATGTCTGTTTCCATCTACACTGGTCTACAGACCAGAATGTCTCTAGACTTTATAAAATGATGTTCATCGACAGTGTATATTTAGGGCGTGAGTGAGTGTGAACCATTTGCTCTGTTTGCTTCCATCTCTGATCAGATTTAATCTGGAGTTTCCCAAGGTGCTTCAACAACATTAAAAATAATTTAACTTATAGAAAACTCAGTAAGCCTACTAATCAATGTCAATAAGAGAGTTTGCTAATATTAGCTGCAATGGGACATTAATGACACAAGACCATATAAGACTATAACAGTGAAACATGAGGGTTTTGCATTGATTGCTTAAGAATATCTCTTTTCATTTGTGAGGAAGACATAAAGAAACTTTGGTCTTTGTGAACTGTACTTGGTCTGTGCATTATCCTCTGAAGTACTGTGCAGTAACAGTCCAGTCAACTGGCTTACTATTACATGATCCAACATTTTTCATATACGTTACTATGATGTGCAGTTAGCAATCTGTTTAAGTATTAACTATATTTTAAAATAATGTTTTAACCCTGCATAATAAGTTGTATCTTTAAACCCGGTCCAGTAATGGAACATGTGCAGATTTTGGTCATTTTATTATTTATTATCTGAGCTGGTATTTTACATGTGAGGATCGTAAAACATTGATAATTTCATATTATTCTCTAATGCTTATTGTATTGTGTCAAGGACACTAATGAATTTACCACCAATGTGAGAATCAGGTCAAACATCATAGAGGGAGCCATGAATGGTGTGTTCAAACCCCAGAATCAGATACTGGACAAGTTTCAAGAAAACGCAAAGCCTTATCAACAGAATTAATCACATGAACCGACTTGTTGGGCTGTGAGATTTTGAAATGTAGTTCATACTCTTCAGAGGAAGAATCTTTTCCACTTTGGACACTGACTTTCTCTTTCAGGTTCTCAGAATGTGGCACGCAGTATCCTGCAGGCAGCTGCAGTCCACTTGACTCCAGTGACCTTGGAGCTGGGTGGCAAGTGCCCGTGCCTCATATATGGTCAGGTGAACCTCGCAGCTACTGCTCGCCGCTTGGTGTGGGCAAAGTATTTCAACTCTGGCCAGAGTTGCGTAGCGCCGGACTACGTGCTGTGTTCACCGGCTGCACGGGACGCCCTGCTTCCTGAACTGCGTATAGCCATAAAGGATTTCTATGGCGAGGAGCCTCAAGCCTGTCCCGACCTGTCCCGCATCGTGTCCCTCCGACACTGGACGCATGTGATGGAACTGCTCGGGAGGTCCAAAGGCAAAGTTGTTGTGGGAGGAGAGAGCGACCAGGAGGACAAGTACATAGGTAGGTTAAGAAGCAGGAGTGTTCAGTAGATAAGAGAAATGCTCTGCACCATGTGAGCCAGACTGATAAGAGTCATAGTTTTTACATTACATTACTATTTAAACAACAAACATCTCCCTTTTTTTACCTGAACCAAAGAGATCATGTATAAATCAATGTCGTTCTTTTTGTCTGTACTTTCTCAACAATTGCTCATCCGATCGACTTCAGACTTGTACTGTCGAGGACACAGATCTTTTTAGAAGAACAGTTCTGGAGAAAGCTTCACACATTGCTTTTCTAAATTTGACTTAAAATGAAAAACAAAAGGTGTAACTCCAGTACAATGGAAGTGCAGCGGCTAGGCAGCAGGCAAATGCCCCAATTTCTTAGGTGGAACTGTGCTGTGCAGACACTTTCTACATCCAGACACTAGGCTGACTCACAGGTGGACAAGATCTAGATTCCTGCGTTAGCTAAGGCGATTTACATGAAGAGGATACGGTGAAGGAGTGTAATGGAGCAGGGAGAGTTATTTATTTTATTCTTTTCAACCTGCAAAATAACAAAGAGGTTGGCTGATGTTGTCCAATAAGAGCACAACATGGCAATGCACAACTCCTTTTGCTGAAGTGGAGAGAAAAAAAACTCCCTCATGAGCAGGAAGAAACCTCTAGAACCAGACTCAATGTGGGCGATCATCTGCCTCGACCGACTGGGGGAAGCAGGGTGAAATGGGGAAGAGAGGAGAGAAGAGTGGAAAAGAAGGAAGAGAGAGATGAGGGAGAGGAGAGGGAGAGACCAGGGACACTTGTGCACCATCACATCTTCACAGCCTTGTCATGTTTCCCAAGTGGAAAAGCTTTTTCAAACGAGGTACAGATGCCACATTTACAAGTTTACGGCTTTTGGGTGGCGACGTTGAAGTCACGCGACAGCGGTGTGGTTTGTTAATAGCCTAACATCAGCCCTTTTCTCTTTCTGGTGATTGTCGGCCTCAATTATCCCAAAAGCGGTTAATTTATCGAGATTATTTTGCTCAACAAAACCTGCCAGGGTCTTAAACTTTTGTCAATTTATTTTCTGATAATGGAAAATGACAATTGGATGCTTGGTGAGGGAACCAGGGTGAAGCTAACATCCTTGTTGGTCTAGAAAATGTTTATTGCTGCGGCAGCCTGTGATGACGATGCCCCTACCGCTACTATGTGGAGCAGGAAGGTTTTGTAGAGCTCCTTGTTGTTTTACATTCTGTTAAAAGATACGCAAGCAATGATTTGTCGGGTCCCCGCATGTGATCTTATCTTTCAGCCGAGTCATGACAAGAATTTATGACTAGGTCGACGAGGTTGGCGGTAAGGAGGCTAGAAATGAATGAGCTGGATTTATTGACAACATGGAATTGGTTAATAAATGAATAGATGGTGGTATTTTCCTTCTAAAGAAAGTGGCTGATAGCAAATATGTGCACACATGCTATAATGGCTTCTGTCGCTGTCCTCTCCCCAGCTCCCACAGTGGTTGTGGACGTGGCTGAAGACGATGCCCTAATGCAGGAGGAGATTTTTGGCCCCGTTATGCCCATCCTGTGCATCGACTCTCTGGAGGAAGGCATTGCCCTAATCAACCGTAAAGAGAAGCCATTGGCTCTCTATGTTTTCTCTGAAGAATCATCTGTAAGAACACACAACTATGCAGCCACCCACCTTTTATAACACCTACCTCCTGTCGTCTAATATTTTATGTCTAACTATCTTTGCTTTTTGGAGGTGGTAACCACCGTGCTGGAAAACACCAGCAGCGGCGGATTCTGCTCTAATGACGGGATTCTACACATGACCCTGCCCAGTCTGCCCTTTGGAGGTGTAGGTGGGTTTGACCCTGATCTAAAGCTTCTCCCACTTATGTGTCTGTTGTTTTGTTGAACCTACAGGAAGTAGTGCATCCTTTTTTTCTTTTTTTCTGCTTTAGTTTGCAGATGATTTGTATAAAGTCTCTCAGCTATGTTCTCCAGACTACATGTATTAGGCCATTCTGAAAATAGGTTATCGTCCACTATATATATTTTATAAGACAAGTTCTAAACTTCAGAGTTTATGGTTAAATCTCGAGGGTTTTTATTTACCAAGTAAAAAGTATTACATGAATGACAATTGGAAAATTATTAACCAAATAATAATACTGGCATTGCCTGCACATCCACCATCCATTTAGCCAATCAAGCCATGTTCTTATTAGGCTTGCTTGCATGCAATTAAAGCCATGTATTGCAGACATGTACAGATGGTTAAATGAATGTGGCGTGAACCCTTAAAGCATAAATCATACTTTGTTTTTATGCTATCATACATACATTCTGGTTTATCCATACACTTGTGTTGAGCCTTACCGGAAACAAAAAGCTGAAACGAGGGTTACCTCTACTTGGACAATGCTTTCAATATTCCACAAGTTGTGCTAGTGCTCAAATGGAATTGCTTTCTGAGATTCTGAATCTCAGAATCATGGATCATTTCACAATGTTAAATGGTTTGTATTTATATAGAGCGTCTCTAGTCTTGATGACCAGTCAAAGCACTTTACAGAACAGTTCACACATTCATGCAGTGCATCTATTAGCAGCACCTCCTCACAATTCAGTGTTAGCATCTTACCCAAGGACACCTCGGCATGCAGATGGAGAAGACTGGGATCCAACTGCCGACCTTCTGGTTGTTGGCTCACCGCTCTACCTCTCAGCCACAGCTGCCCACTATAGATAGTGGAGCAACATTTACTGTATATTGTTCTGTTGTGGTAATCCATCCAATACTTTCTGGAATAATCAATCTGGAACTACGTTTTAAGACACTGATGGTTTCAGGTCAATATATCGTACTGACTTTAGTTTTGTCTTGACTTTAATTGTAATGCCACGATTTTAGTTTTTAATGAAATGTTTCAACAACTTTTGGGTGGATTGGAGACATTCATGTCCTCGGGATGAAGTGAAATAACTTTGCTGTTCCTGTAACTCTCATCTGCACGGCCATCACTGCATCCAAATCAATTTTTAAACTGTTTATATACTTGATTACATTTCTTATAAAACACCACATGGTCTGTGCAGGTGCCAGTGGTTGGGGCAGTTACCATGGCCGCTGGGGCTTTGAGACATTCAGCCACAGACGGGCGTGCATGCTGCGTGGCTGGGGTCTGGAGAAACTCAACGGCCTGCGTTACCCACCTTACAGTGAAAGAAAACTGAGCTGGCTGCGCTGGAGCGCCTCACCCAAGAGCATCTGCTCACTAATGTGAAAACAAGCAGGCTGACTGCGTGTGTGTGAGAAGATTTTATACCATGAGAGCAAGAGTGAGTGCTGGGGAACTTAGTGCAGAGGATTAATCATTCTGTTTTAAACCTGTGTTTGGATGCTTGTGTGTATTAACATATTCAGGCATTATTGTCAATTCACACTTAACACCTTTCAATGAGTTTCTCTTAAACAGCCACTTTAATGTTTTGTCTTCTTGTCACTGAATATAATTTTGTATCTGTAGTGTTTTTATTCTACACTGTACGTTTGTCTTGATTGTAAAATTCCTACCTTTTCTAACTGGGTTCTTTCTGTCACATTCTTCACTTTTTCTAAAGTCATGTGTTCTAGTTTATATACATTAAAAAAAAGGACAGTTCCTAAATGATGAAACCCTTTTATTTGTTATATGTCAGGGATTTAACTTCCTGCTCAGTTTTTCATGTTCTTGCACTGAAATCTTGGAGTGGTGAGGTGGATTTACACGGTTTTAACAACATTTAGTTTCTCTTCTGTAGTTTTGGTCTTTTGATTGATTGCTCTGTTTTTATAATAATACATGAAATGATGTAAATAAATTGGAAAATTTACTTTTATTACCAAAGAACGAAAGTTATTTTTTTTCTTAAGAACACTTGGAAGCTAACTTGTGACTGGTGAACTCTGGGATGGCTCCAGGTAAAGCAGCGGCTGCTCTACAAATATTCAATGTCTGTCACGCACACGTGAAGTGAGCGCTGTAATCTTCTGCTTTACATCTAAACTATGTTAATCAAAGGACCTGTTTTTTTTCCACTGTTTAACCTCATGTGAAATTACTTCACAGATTTATATCACAAGGTTCAAATAAGTCGATTTACTGCAGCCAGTTGTCACTTTGTGAGTTATTGCAATAATTCCAATTAGTACACTTTATATAAGGGAACACATATTAACTAGTTTCTTAGTAGCATGCATATTAGTAGCATATTGGCTCCTTATTAGTCATTATAAAACACTTATTATTGCCTTATTCTGTATGAGCTTATTCTACTACTACTACTAAGCCATTAACTAACAGTGTTCCCTCAATAACCTAATTACTGTGTATTGATAGTAAGTAAGGAAGTTGTACATGAATTACAATCTTAATATGCTTTACTCAGTATGGGCCTTAGAAGGTGGTAGTTCCACAACCCTTCATAAATATGTTCTATTCACATGTAACAAAACATGTTAATAGTGTCCAATTGTCTAAAGTAAGTCTTTCTTACTCAGAACATGTTCCCCATTCTAAAGTGAGGTTTTGCTCATAACTAATTCACATCTAGTTTGACACTTATTAACTCACACAGGTTCCCTTTTCTAAAGTTGCCTCTTCTTCACACTAAGTAATTCATTATAGCACACAACTACTGCAAATAATGCTATTCTTAGGTGATGGGTTCCACCTTAAAAAAAAAAAAGGACTGCTGAGATGCACAGGTTCTAGAAGAACAAAGTCAGCACAAGAAATATCTCCTTTATTAATGGACCACCTCAGAGATTTTCAAACATGATCTATCATCTATCAAAGGTACAGTGTGTAGACTTTTGATATATCTAGTGTTGAAGTTGCATGTTGCAGCTGAACACCTCTCACCTCACCCTCTCCTTCCAAACATGAAAAAGAACCTGTGGTAGCTTCAGTTGTCATAAAAACTCAAAAGGTGTTTAGTTTGTCCAGTCTGGACTAATGTTAAAAACATGTGGACCCCGTAGAGAGGGTCCCCTCCATGTAAATATAAAGTATTTCAATATAAAGGGTCTTTTCTGGGGTAAATAAAGAAAACTTTCATAGAATTTAGATGAAACGAACTAGTGAAAACATCATGAGGATTATTCTACATTAAATGTCTGCCAATAGATCCCTTTCACCTAAATCTTACACACTGGACCTTTCAAATATTTTTTTTAAAGTTTCTTCAAGGCTAAGAACAAATGGACTACCTAAACTTCCTGTATCCTGTATTTCAGCTGACAGAGCTTTTTGGTGTGTAAAGGAGCACACAAATGTTCAACCAGTGTTACAAAACCTCACTTTAGAATGGGGAACATGTTTTGAGTAACAAAGACTTAATTTAAAGTTATTTGGACACTATTAACACTTGCAGTTTAATTACATGTGAATAGAACATATTGATGAAGGGAGAATGACTATTCTTGTGGTACTACCACCTTATAAGGACCATATTGAGCAAAGCATATTAAGAATGTAATTCATGTACAACAACGTCCTTAATTACTATCAATAAGCAGTATGTTATAAGCAATGGTGTAGTAGTAGTAGAATAAGGCATTAATAAGTGTTTTATAATGACTAATAAGGAGCCAATATGCTACTAATATGCATGCTAATAAGAAACTTGTTAATATGTGTTCATTAATATAAAGTGTTACCCAAATTTTATGTTTAGAGTCAAATCACAACAGACATTATTTCAAGGCATTTTAATTATAAGGTTGAGGCTTTAAAAATTATAGAGAAACCCAACAGTCCCCACAATGATCAGACACTGGCAACTGTTGAGAGAAACTCATTAACTGGAAGAAACCTCTGGAACCAGAATCACTGTGCAACCATCTGCCTCGACTGGATGAGAGGAGAGGAATGAGGGAGGGAGAGTCTGCAGGATTTCATTTACTCAGGATTGTGACACAATAGTTAATTGGTAGTTATCACAATGTCACTTTATTTAGACTGACTTCTGCTGCTGAGTGAAAGTTTTGGTTTTAAACTCAACGAGCTGAGAATAACAACCCTAAGAAACATTTCATACCTCTGAGGTAAATCAGGTGTTCAACTCCTCACTGTGCATAAACAATCTGAAACTATAGCTGTTTTAATGCGCAGCCCCACCAAGAACTACTCTGGATAATAAACAGTCAATGTTTTGTGAATTGTGGTCAAAATTATCATTTATTACAAATATGAATAATCAAATACAGGTAATACAAGTTCCTCTGCACACTTTGCTGGACATGTCTGCAGCAAGGAGGTACAGAAAAAGATGGCTCCATATTCTTAACAGCCTTCCTCTTCCCCCAACAAACCCAGAGTGGAGTATCTTCTTAATCTCTTTTACTTTCCTTCAGCGATGCGTCATAAACAACAAGCATGTGGATGGATTCAATCCATCAGATGCACTCTCACATAGTGTGGGAATTAAAAAAACAAATTGTGGATTACTACTTTTAGTAGTAACTAAATTTATTTCATAGACCACATGTATCTACATCTCAAACAGTTAAAAACAAAACTGTCCAACAATGACTTCACTTCGTGTGAAGGTATGTTGCCTCCTGACAGTTGAAACCAACCTGGTGTTTCCACATGTGCAGACTGCATAGTGTTGTTACTGTGGGGGGGGGGGAGGAAGAGAGCAGCTACTTAAGACGACTATGGAGGATGGGCCTTGCTCTCGGGGAGCTGTCAGGCACTGAATCCTGAAGAAGTGCTTGCAGTAGTGCGACAGCTCTGCCACAGTGGGTTCATGGCTCAGGTTTGTATGAGGAGGGGGGGTTTGTCCCTGGGGATGCCTGCTCAGGAACTGGAGACTCTGGAGCTGGAGTGGAACTGGCTGCAGTGGCTGCTGGCTCTTTCTGCACCAGCTCAGGCTCATCCTGGCCGGCCTGGGGCGGGTGGACCAGGACCCGGTCTATTATACCGAAGTCCTGTGCCTCCATTGGACTCATGTAGCGATCCCTTTCCATCACACCCTCTAAGACACAGGAGAGAAACCAAACATCCCTTTATGACAGGCCCATTCCAACTGATCACTGATCATAAGCTGCTACTGATACTGTCAGTGTACCCAGTGGAGATTACATTAGACCGAACATAAATATGGACGTGACTCCTCTTCATCCCATTATCCAGAAATGAACAAATACAAATCTGTGCGATAAGAATGACCTAAAACAACAGAGAGAAACTTTTATTTAACGTCTACTTGGACTTTTTAGTTCGGTCGATGTCCCATCTGCTAACATGGAGGAGGCATGGTTTATGACCTATACTGCAGCCAGACACCAGGGGGTGTTGGCTTCACTTTTAGGGAGGCTGAATGTCATCCATTTCTATATTGGTCTCTATGAGAAGGACAAGCAGCTCAGAGGTTACTGTGCCTGGTGCAATAATTCAGTAATAATAACTAAGTGAAGACTGAGTGTGGAGGTGCTGGTGGTGTTTTTGTTTTTAAGAACTTTCTGTTGAACTGTGTTCAGTTTTTTAAGTTAAGCAGGACCTGAAGTAGGTGCTTAATGAAGACTGACTCCTGATCAGCTCGTGGAAGGATTCACACTCTCCTCCTGTCTCTTTCTCTCTCTCTCTCTCTCTATATATATATTTTTTGTTAGATTTAGTAGAGCGGAGGTAGGACTGGGACAAGACAAGCATTCCTCTTCATCTTCTTCCTCTTGTTTCAGACAGAAAATGAAACAATCTCTGTTTGTTAATGTTAGTGAATATTTATATTGCCGATATACAGTATATATGTTTTGTGATTTTTTTTCTTTCATAAGATACATTTTATTTTACCTTTTAAAAAAATGTTTGAACTGAACCAAACATATCACTCCATGCAGTGTGAGTAGTATTCTATTTTGCCTGAACTGGACTGAAAAAAGTGATGAAGATGTTGTCATTTTAAGTCAGATCACACAAAAGCCGTTTTCAGACATGTTCTGCTGAGGAACTTCGTAGAATTGGGTCAGGATGCACATGCACAACGCAGCGGGAGAGTCTGTGCACAGACACTTTCACAACAGCAACAAATCCTCCCCATTACTGAGGCGACAGCTGGTGCAGCAGGCAGAGGCAGGAAGTAGCGTATTAATTCCACTGTGGATATCAGGTTATTTGGCTTACAGCACATCGACGCCTCAGCTCTCATCATCACAAACTCTCTTGACATGGCATCACTATTTTACCCGGACATTTTAATTTTCCTTTTTGTTTGTTTTTTAAATTTTTGCGTCTATTGCATGTCACCCCCCCACCAATTCACTGTAGCTACCAATGGTTGTAGCTAAAGCGCTGAGAAAACCTACCAATGGTTTCCAGCAGCTGCCCCGTGTGTTTGGCATAGATAGTATTGATCTGCCTCTTCAGTTTCAGGATCTCTTCAGCCTGGATGGCAATATCTGTGGCCTGCCCCTGGAGACACAACATACTGGAAATATTACTTCTCCGATTCTGTGAAATAATCACTTCCACAATTTTGACAACTTTACTCCAGACTTGGTTTCAGATCAGATTTAATGGCGCTTACCCTGGCACCTCCTGAGGGCTGGTGCACCATGATACGGGCATTGGGCAGTGAATGTCTCATCCCTTTCGTTCCTGCTGCCAGGAGCAGGCTGCCCATGCTGGCCGCCTGGCCGACACACCAGGTGGAGATGGGATTAAGGATGTACTGCATGGTGTCGTAAATGGCCAGACCTGCTGTTACGACACCGCCTGGGAGGGGAGAGGAAAGATAAGAGAGGCTGAACAGATCTGAAGGCTCATACTTGATTGGCAAATAGACTTTAATTGTATTGTAATACTGAGGATGATCAGGCTGTGGCTGAATGTTGAAATTA